TGTTTTCGAAGAAAACATAGCGAAACGATGTCGTCCTGGTTACAAATAGCCAAATAATCAAAGAAGTCCTTAGCTGGATCGTTTCGATTTATTTTCACCTCTATCACATAAATTTAAGCTTTTTAATTCGAAACTCTAATTTATTTGGTGAAAATTCAGAAAACCCTCGGATATGAGTTCAATAAATTTTATTTTTAAAAGTAATTTTATTATTTTATTATACTTTAAAAATATGAAAAGACAAAGCTATTCCCAATCAATAAAATAAATAGTGACCATTAATAAAACATAAGAAAAAGATCATATCACCCTCCAAGATCATTCTTATATTGTTCTGCCTCTATAGTGTAACTCTAAACTCTATACTGTTTTGAAATAAAATAAAAAATATATAAATGTTTTTATCGTGAAAGATAGAAAGAACATAAAAAAATTTGTTTTATAAGTAATTTTAAAGTGAATTTATATACTTCAAAAATATAAAATATAAATAATTGAGTGAAAAAAGACAGTTTCCTCTCCTGCAAAAATGTATAGACCCTCTGACCCATCTCTCTCGATGGCGCCTCCATATTAATTACTCGAGTCTTTCGATACAAAAGGCATATATTTCGATGTTACATCATAGTGATTAGTTTAATATGGGTTTGATACTAGAAGGAATCCCCACTTCCATGCAATGTCGAAATCTCAAAGTATTAATTGGCCTCTAATTAATCCTTGGCTTACGTACACAAAACATTAATATTATCTTTTTTCTCAAAAAGGGTGGCCATATATATAGCTGCTTGTATATTTTGATGTAAATTGCCTCATAGACTTGCTTGTGACATGGGCTTGATACGGACGATTCTTTAAATTCTGGATTGGTACGTTATAATTATGAATTAAAGGATAGGATTTATAATAAAAAGGAATTATATAAAAGCAAAAACTATATAAAAAAATAAAAATGTAATGACAAGCGAAACCATTATAAGTATTATGAACTTGATACCAAACTACATTTTTGTTTTTTTGAGAAATAAATAATTTTTTTTTTGCACTGAAATGGTAAAACAAATACATTGTTTATTATTATGTTTGGAATTTTATTTAAATATATTTTAAAATTGTGTTTGGTTTGTAACGATGTTTGAATTTATCTCACGAGCTTTACATGTCGAGTTGATATGTGAGATATTTAATTATTTTTTTTATTTTTGCAATCTAATAAGCTTTTTCTTAGATAAATAATTACTCGATATTGTTTCATACATGCAAATAAATATCATTTAAGAGAGAAAACAACTATAATTTTAAAAAAAAATTAAAAGTAAATATGTAATTTGTAATGAAAAAAAAAAAACCAAACTTCCTTTTGAAGGATCTCTCTCCTTTATAACTTCTAAGCACTCTTTATCGAAGAGAAATAATTTAAGTATTAGTAAAATATTTTTGACTTATCAATAAAAATATCTAACTTATAAAGATAAAAAAAAAAAAAGAAGCTAAGATTCTTCAAAATTAGAAAAAGCACGAACTCTATATTTGAATGACTCTAAAAATAATAAGTTTGATAGTTTATTAGATCCACACATATGTAAACTTAATGTTTAGCTAAGTTCAGAAATAATGAATATATTATTATTTTTTTATCATCTTTTTAAAAGACAAATCCAAATAAAAAAACAATAAATATTATTCCATCAACTTTAAAAAATATATTTTAATATATTTTTAAATAAAAAATATTTTTAAAAAATATTATCCCTTGAAATTCCTTCCCAGTTGCTTGCAACTAATGGATAAGTGGAAAGAGGTGGCTGTTTATGCTACTTCTAAGCTAATTCTCCACAACCTAAAGCAAACGCCAGCTTTATATTTTCTTACTTATCTTTATATTTACACTCACTGCATTGACTTATCAACAACAGTGGCTATTAATGGAGGCCTTTTCCTTTTCTTTTTAATTGACAGAGAAAGCATTCCTATTATTTCATTAATGAACTTTGAGAATCAACAGGCAAACATTCACTCGTTCCAAATCAATTCATAATCATTGATAAATAATGGCAATGAATTAATTATTAGAACATTATCATAATTAGTTACTTAAAATCAGTATAATATTCTAAACAATAGAACTTTACAAACAAATGATTTTTAAACAAATTAAAAAAAAAATGTCATTTAAGCGGACAAAAATAAATATATAAAAAGCCATTGATCAAATCTTGTTTGATAATACTAAAAAAAAATTATATTTAACCAAATCAAGTTTCTATATAATTCAAAAACAAACCTAGTTTTATTCAAATTAGATGTCGACAATATTCTTCAAGTTTAATTAAGTTAATTTTTAACATGATTAAAAAAACAAATTTAGTTTGATTCAAACCCTAATTAGAGACCTAACCAGATCTTCATGTTTTGATACGCAATTTATGGATATATCTCATTATAAAGGTAAGAGGCTTGCAGAAGCATTGCCTCCAAAGGAATTAAGTAATCATTTGCTGTGATGTTTTGGATAACTAATCTGCATTTTTCTTGCATATGTTCTTCAACTTTTTGGCTCGTTGCATGTATCTTCCACCCTACATTGTTGAAAAACACAGTTATCAGATTCCCATCTCCCCGTCACGATGCCATCTCTTCAAGAAAAATTCTTGATTCTTTATTATTTTAAGATTTAATCTTATTGGTAAATTAATTCGCACCTTCATCTAAATTTAAATCCTTAGAGAAGTGGCATTTAAATATTTATTTATTTATTTATTCAATCCAAAAAAATCTTACTTTTCAATTACATTTTACATGTATTTAAAAAAAAATTGATTTGGCTGATAAAAACACAAGAAATTCTTTTAAAAAAACTAAAATAATATTATTCAAACAAAAAATTAATAATATATTTGAGTTAACGCTAACCTAACTTAATGGCAAATTATAAATCAGGTCAGATCTCCAGCCTGGTTTGACAACAATGCTTTCATTACTGGATATCTACGAGGGAGATTAAAAGAAATCAATTGATAGGCGAGAGAAGGACTACGCAGTTCATCTTGCTGTAAACGGGCACGTGTAGGAAACTACGCCTATATTAACCCCTACAGCTCCACGATAACAAAATTATTCTCCCTCAGGACCACAATTAATTAGCTGATCCTATCCTCCACAACACGAAAAAGATGCCCACCTTCTCTTATTGTCTCCTCCTCCTCTTCCTCCCTCTACTCTTCAGTACTTTCCACGCCAATACTGCTCAGAATCTCATCCCTGAAACTTGCAAGAAATGCGCAGCAAATGATCCGAACCTTAGCTACAACTTCTGTGTAACTTCTCTTCAAGCATCCAATCGTAGCCAGTGTGATAACCTTCGTGGGCTTGGCATGATGTCCATCAAGTTAATCAAAGACAACGTGACCAACACAAGGAACTACGTGAAGAGTCTCTTGAAGAACAAAAAAATGGACCCCTTCATTAGGGCATGCTTAAATGATTGCCTTGATCTTTATTCTGACGCCATCCCTACCCTCAAGCAGGCCATGATGGATTACAAGTCTAAGCACTATAAGGATGCCAATATCGAAGTAGGTTCAGTCATCGATGCAGCCACAACCTGTGAAGATGGATTCGAGGAGAAAGAAGGTGCAGTTTCACCATTAACAAAAAGAAATAATGATACTTTTCAGCTGTCCGCTATAGCGCTTGCGCTCATCAACATGCTCTAATCTGTATGTAGTAGTTGGAGATTAAGGTTCTATCATTGTTAATCCTTCCTTGCTCCTTAATTTCTTGTTAGTTTTCCTGATGTTAACGGATGTTTTTTCAATATCCTTTTGTGTTGGTCAGCTGTTAATTTATTGATGCGACGTATATTGTCTTTGTGATTGTTTTTATTTCCATATCTTTCATCAACTATCACATGTAACAAAATGATCTGGAAAAATCATGATTAATTATTTCTTAAGCAAAAGTTTAAGAAAAAGTGACTTCTAATTAATTATAATTGTACTTGGACTTTGGAGTTCAATAATTTCGCTTCTTTTCTATAGTCTTATATAATATTAATGGTCGCGTCCTGTGATTAAAGGAATTTATTCGTGTTGAACAAGAGACAGCATAGACGATCCTGGTAAAGTTAAACAATCAAAAGACAGCATAGGAGAAAACCATTCGTGGGCAGAAACAGCCGCTCCTTCACAGGCTGACGATTGGAACAAGGCCGGAAGCCTCATTCCACACGGTGCCCCGTTGCCTATATTTGTCTTAAAGAATACGAAAGCGGGAAGAATTGCATTTCAATGAAGCATGATCCGCCTAATACGATGACTTTGTAGATGTAGTAGAAAAATTCATCCATTAAATGATTGTTATATTGCAGCAAATAATCTCATCCAGTAAGAGAGAGTGGACGGCCACCAAACTTCAATGGGATAAAAACCAATGACAAGTTCAAGTGATCATGAATTCCTTCATTACAACGTAACTGGTCAAATTCAAAAGAGAAATCATGATATAGAACTGTGCACTGAATTTGGTTAACGGTTCGATAGGGAAATTGACAATTCTTTTTGTGGAAAAAAATCGGCAAACGTGGCCTCATAATTCAAGGATGCAGCAACTTTAGTCATAACCGAATATCTGCATAGCAAACATTCAATAGAGATTGCACTCCATAGTAATGCAAGAGAAATTCTTCTTCTCATTTCAACAAGAGAGACAAACAGCTCAGACTTGTATATATAAAAGTAGTTTCAACAGCGTGCGGCAACATGAGAATCATGTAAAGCATTATGATTTCGATGAAAACAGGCATGCATCAGAGAAATCCCTTGCAAGTGAAAACTAGCCACTAAAAGAACAGTGCAGCGCACAATAGAACCCATGAACACAAAGGAAACACGAGGAAACTTGAGCATCTAGACGTGAAATGAAATTTTGGGCAATCAGAGCGGTT